GAAACTGAGGCTCAGAGAGGCATTAGAGCTAGAATTTCAACTTCAGTCTCTCTGACTTTGAAGGTTTTGGATTTGCTTTCTCCCCACGAGACCCTGTGAGGAAACTGCCAGGAACACTTTGGCAGTGAGGCAGGGGGGAATATCAATAACACAATTAATACAGAAGAAGGTGCTTATTTCTTCATTACTGTCATGAAAAGCAGCATGGGGTATTTTCCATGCGCAGGATCTGGGCTCTAAAGGCATGATTTAATGATCTCACTCCAGGTCTGGTGGTCCTGCTAAGACACCCATCAACACATGAATATTTACACACACACAGTGCCGCAGTGCATATGTTTCTGGTAATGTAGTTTCTTGGAGGAGCTCAAGGTTAATTGGCAGCATTCATGTCTGGGGTTCCTGAGTAGCACAGGTTTGACCCCCAGCCCCCTGGCGGGGAGGTCTGGCCGTGCACTGAGGGGTCAGATGGAAAATCTGCCCGAGGCCTTCCCGCCTCCCTGCAGCCTGCAGCCTGCAGCCCGTGGCGCAAAGGCAGCTCTGGACTGGAGCCCACGTGGCGCTTCCACAGGCACACCCGCGTCCCCGGCCCCCGCTGAGAACTGCTGTCCATCCTTCAGGCCCCAGGCTCACTCCCCAACGCGAAATCACTGTGTCCTTCCTTCCCATCCCCTCCCGCCTCCTGCGTCTATGGATTTGCTGTTCAGAAAACATCTGTTCCCTCCTTCACCCCTGACATAAGCATCGATCTCCTGCTGGCCCAGCTGCTTAAACTCACTGCCCTGGGAAGCAGACACTCCTTCCTGAGACAGCACAGGTCTGAGGCAGGCCTGGGAGTTCTGACAAGGGGAGTCATGGGGTGAGGGTAAGGGGAACTTGTCCACACAGACACCTCCTGACTAAGGTGTGAGGTCAGGGCCAGAAGGAAAGAGATCAGAGGGTCAAGGCCGAAACTCAGGGGTCCAGGGGGAGCCTGCCCCTCCCTGAGAGGAGGCCTGGACAGCCAAGCCTCCACCCCATCAGTCAGAGACCCTCTGCCTGATGTTGGCAGGAGTGAGGAAGGGCCTCAGGCAGCCAGGGGAGGCCCTGCAGCTGCGAAGCCCCTGCGGCCCAGAGGAGGCAGCCAGATGCCTCGATCCCGCTACTCTCTCCCTGCGTCTGCCCAGCAGCCCTGCCTCTCCCAGCGCTCAAGATGTCGGGCTCCCCCATGGGGCTGCCTCAGTGTCCGGGGATGCCTCAGCGTCCAGGGCGGCCGCGCTCAGTACCCTCCACAGCCACACCCCAGCACAGGCGCACCTCTTAGGGACACCAGATGCACCCCCAAATATATCTGTGCAATGAATCAAACCTGAACCTAAGAAAGGGAAGCCAGATAGGCCAGATTCCCCATAAACAGTGTTATGGGAGGAAATTATCCCCTTCCCCACTGGTTCTAAGGTGAGGACTTGGACTCATCAGTCTGTCTGTCTGCCTGTCTGTCTGGCTGTCTGAATGGGGCTGGTGCTGAGGAGGGGGAGGCAGGCGTGGGCTGAGCAGACCCTCCCCAGGCTGCTAAGTGTGCTGGGGACACTTGACCCACTTCCTGGGCCAGTCTGGGCCTGTGGAAGGTGGGTAGGGAGGCAAAGTCAGGGGAAAGCTGGCTTTTCTAGTGAAGAGCAGGAGTGAGTGTGATGTGATCAGTAGGCAGTCTCTGGCCATTCTGAGGGTAGATGCCAGCTCTGGGGACCCAGAGGTGATCCAGGCACAGACCCTCCCTCAGGAAACTCAACGTACCCTCAGGAAATGAGACTAAAGCTAGAACCTGCCACGTAGTAAGGATCAGGAAGTATTTTCTTAGTGCCACACGGGTGGATGAGACAGATACTGATAATTCAGTGTGCTGAACACTGTGACTCACTCAACATAAGATTATTGTTCCTACAATGTGCTGGTGAATGAATGCAAGAAATGAACCAGGCATATGGTCTCAATTGCCTCTACTCAAGGTGGCTAGAGGCCCAGGGAAGACTTTGCAAAGGAGGGGACATTTGGGCTGTGTCTTACGGATGGATAGGATTTCACCCAATGCACAAGGGGAGGAAATCATCCCAGCAGAGGGGCAGCAAGTGTCAAGGCAGAGAGGCAAGAAAGATCCTGGCCCATCTGGGGAGTCCGGAGTGGAGTTGTATGACTGGAATGTGGAGGGGTGTGTGGGGATTCGGGGGAGCCACTGTAAATCTTGAAACAAGGGAGGGATGTAAAGCAAGGAAAAAGGACACTCTAATCAAACATAGTAAATATTTTCTCATAAAGCAGAAAAATAAATATTTTTAAATTCCAAAAAGAAAGCAACCCTCTAGGCAGAGGGACCAGCTGAGGCACTGGATTGGGGGTGTGAATGGTCACAACACATTCACAAAACCGTGAGACCAGGGGTGGGGAGTCTCCTGAGAGATGATTATACCTCAAGGGGACAGGCATGGCCTTGTGACCCAGAAGGCGATATCTGGGGAGGAGGGATGGAAGAAAAGAAATAGACTGTGAGACTGTGTCTTAAAGATATAATTCTAGAACTCAGCATCACTCCCACTTCACAGGTCCAGAAACTGAGGCTCAGAGGGAGCCATTCTGACTGGTGTTGGGTCCAGATAATCACTTCTCCATGGCTACCTCTTTCCCACATTCATACCAAATAGAAGCAACTGAGAACAACTTGAGTGTGGACAGTGAAGGGAGCATCGCCTTCGGAATTAAGAGTCAGGTTTACAGATTGTCGGTGACTTGCTATGTGACCTTGCTCAGGTGATTCCCTCTCTGAGTTTCTGTTCCATCTTCCATGAACAGTCAGCCCTGTGAAATCATATCTTCAGGGCTGCCTGACGTTGAGACAGCAGCTCCCGTCTGGAGCTCACTGGGTAGGCAGCTTCCTCATCTGTGAAACGGGCATTAGACTTGCTACCTCCCGGGGCAGCCATGAGGATGGAGGCAGAGGACGGAGGCGAGAGCCTCGGCACCAAGCTTGGCCCACAGTAGATGCTCAGGAAACGCGGAGGGAGTCCACATATGTGGCCCCTGGGGGCCAGGAACGGCTTCAGCAACCCAGGGCGAGTCTGAGCCTTAGTGACTTGTCTCTCCTCTTCTCCATTTCAAAGACTTTTCATAAGCAGCTGGAGATCCAAAGAAAAGCTGCCCTGGATGGAATATATTTAAGGGAAAAAAACCAACAGATTTACCTTCCTGCACAGAAGGAGAGCCGTCTTCTCCACAGGGAGCCGCCAGGCTCCAAACTGCTGATTTACTTATTTTTCCTTCTTCATTAGGAGCCGAGGAAAAGGCTCTCTAGCATTCTGGCCTGGAGAATTCCATGGACCAGTCCATGGGGTCGCAAAGAGTTGGACACGACTGAGTGACTCTCACTTTCACTTTCAGTGGTGACAGCGCTTCTTGCATTGCCCTCAGACCCTGGGCAGGAGCTGGGACAGCCATGTGCACCCAGACCCTCCTCCGGGGGCCTCTGGCCTCTTCCCCACCGTGAGGCCCTGGGGGTATTCCAGCTCAGCTGCTGACAGCCTGGTGACTGGGGCCAGGCCTGCCAGCTCACAGCCCCGGTCCTCACCAGGGAAAGCACAGCAGTGCACACTCCACTTAGTGATGGCGAGGACGGGCCACACCACACACCTGCTGCCTCCCGGAGACGCCCCCAGAGCACTGGGCTGTGCCTCCCCAGTGGCCAGGACGGTCCAACAGCAGTCTGCCCTCTGAGCACCAGCCCCGCCTGCAGCAGAGGCTCTTCCTTCCTGTCCTTCTGTCCTCCTGCCCATTGCTCTGCCCAGACTAGTCTGGACCTGGGGGACAAGAGAACAAGCATCTGATCAAAGTTTAAAGTAGGGAGGGAAAGAAATACCCGGGGCGACAGGACAGGAAAGAGACTCAGAAAGCCTTAGAAGAACACTGAGATCAGGCCGTGTCCAAGGCCTCCTGAATCATTAATTCTTCTTTGTCATTCTCTCTTCAAATCCTGTCTCTTTCAACCCAAGGAGGTCCCTTGCCAGGTCTCAGCCCGCCCGTGGGGCTTCCTTGCAAGACTTTGCAGAGCACCTGTCCGCCCTGTGTGCATGTGGTCTCTTCTGGCACAGGTTGCTAACAGCTCTGCCACCCAACCTGGGGCATCTCTACACAGGCCCTGGGAAGGGAGGAGAAAGAAAGCAGCTGTGCTGTGTGACCTTGGGCAAGCACCACCACCTCTCTGGGCTCCCTTACTGTCAGGGATGTGGGCAGTAAGTAAATGAAAGAAAGTAGCCAGCACAGACTAGTGTCATTACCCCTCCTTGATTCCTGAAATGTATTAACTTTAGGATGGACCAACTTCTGACTTTGCCTTCTCTCCAGGCCACTGAGGGGAGATGCTTGATACAGTGGAGGAACCCTGACTTTGAGCCAAAGGAGCCTGGGTTGGAGTCCTAGCTCTGTACTTATCAGTGGTGTGACCTCAGGCAAGCAACCTGGCCTCTCTGAACCCCAGTTTCCACGTCCAAGTGAGGGAAAGTCGCTCAGTTGTGTCCGACTCTTTGTGACCCCATGGACCATAGCCCGCCAGGCTCCTCTGTCCATGGGATTCTCCAGGCAAGAATACTGGAGTGGGTAGCCATTCCCTTCTCCAGGGGATCTTCCCAACCCAGGGATCAAACCCAGGTCTCCTGCACTGCAGGCTGTTTACCCTCTGAGGCACCAGGGAAGCTCCTCAAAGCCTACAAATGGGAGCAGAGCTATGGTGAGGACTTAGTGGGACATCTGGAGAAAAGCACTCGGCACAGCACCTAGCACACAGTAGGCCAACCACGGGGTTCCCTGGCTCAGAGTTTGGTGTAGGGAACGTGAGTCCAGACTGAACCAGGAAGCGGCCTCCAGAAGAGGCCTTCTCCACGGAGAGGAATTTTGTGAATCGCCAGGTCTGAGAGGATCATTCCCACTGTGGGGTCAGGCCACTGGCCTCCGCTGGGCAGATTCTCAGCGTCTCTCACTCCTTCGGGGGCCCGTCAGCCAGGAGCTGGGGGCTGGCGTGCAGCGCCACCTGGTGTCCAAAGGGGACGGGCCGGGGCTGAGCCGAGACCCGTGCCGCGCGGTGCCGGGAGCCAGGAGCAACCTAGGGAAGGCGGGTCCTGGGGGGGGCGGGCAACACCGCGGGGAGCAGACCTCTTATTTAACGTGCAGACGACCACAAGGTAAGGAAAGTAAGTAGGCCATCCTGTTGTAAGAGCAAAGAAAAAGTCAAGCAGGAAACAAACTGAAATTGCAGCTAGAGTGATCAGACAGCCTGGTTGAGCACAACCTGAAGGCCGTTTGGGCGGATGTGCTGGTCTCTGGAGAACTTTCCTGGCAGAATAAACAGCCAGTGCCCAGCCAGGAATGTAGGATGGGGACCCAAGGCGAGGATAGAGGCAAAGTGGCCAGGGAGGTGACAGGACAAAGGCGTGTGGCTTTTGCTCAACCTGAGAAGGGAGCCGGTGGAGAGTTTGGAGTGAAACCCAAACAGCAGGTTAACGGCTGTGCTGTGCGCGGACTGATGGACTGGTGTGGGGCTGAGGGCTCACAGCGAGAGGCAAGGAAGCGCCCGAGAGGCTTCTGCAAGGACCTCGCCGGAGGCGACCGCTGTGCCCACCATGGAGGCAGCAGTTAAGAGAGGGGGCCGGATCCTGGATGGACTGTGAACATGGAGCCAGATTTGCTGAGAAACCAGATGTGCGGGTGAGGCAGAGAAATCCAGACTGACTGCAGGGAGTTTCTTGGTCTAAGCAAATGGCAAGAGCGGGCAGCGTGGCTGAGCGGTGTAAGGTGCTGGGTGAAGGCCCATGGCAGGACGGAGGCACCATTAATCCAGTGGGTAACGTCCGCATTGTGACTCATCAGAACTATCAGGTGTGGACATGTTAAGCATGAGATGCATACACCTTTTATTTTGTATTATGTATATATATATTTAATAAAAGAGTAACATCTCATAGCATTCCCAGACATCACTGTTAGGAACTGCAGCTTCAGGCTAGCTATCATTAGCCACAAACCAGACTGTCAGGATACTTGTCTTGAAATTCCCGTTCTGTAGGTAATATGCTGTGTGGCCGTGGGCAGATCACCTTACCGCTCTGGGCTCATTTTCCCTCCATTTCTAAATGGGCTAGGAGGAATTATTAAAGTAGAGGTCTCAAGACTCCCTTTCAGTTCTCAGTCTCTTTGATGTCTTAAATGTCACCTCTTCAAAGACCTTCCACCACCGCCCCCCAACCTCTGTCAGCAGGGTCTTTGTTTTCATCCTGGCTGGCTGTGTCTCCCCACACGCTAAGCTTCAAGGAGGCAGGTACAGTTTCCACTCTGTTCCAGTTTTTGTCTCCAGTTGAGACAAGGATCTTCTCAAAGGTCTTTGCTCAGTTCTGAGGTGCAAGTGCGAGCGACTAAAGGATTTTGAGTAGACATTTTCCAGGCTTAAATTTACATAATTTATAAAGCAATCTGGTTTGGATTTATAAAGAAAGGATCACTGGGTTGCAGTGATGAGACTGGGTGGGGGAGGCAGAGAGGCCGGCTGGAGGCCACTGTGGCCCCCAGGCACCAGGAGATGGGGCCCCAGATGCAGGCGGTGGGGGAGCAGGTGGAGGGGGCGAGAAGGAACCGTCTATGGTCTGTTTGGAAGGTGGAACCGGCAGGAGACGCTGCTGGACTGGATGTGGTGTGAGAGAGATCGGGCTCAAGCAAGTCCCCACAAGTGGTGTCCAGGTGCCTGGGAGAAGAGTTTCATTAAATGCCCCAGGGAGACATAGGGCGAGTTTGGAGGGAAATTTCAAGGGTCTTATTTAAATCTGAGGGTTCTGTTATTAGACATCGAAGTGGAAATGTGAAGAAAGCAACTAGAAGCAGGAGTCTGGCGTTCAGGAGGGAGCCAGGCTGGAAATGGAAATTGTGGATCACTGTGCGTAGAGGTGGTGTGTAGAGGTATGGTGCTGGAGGAGGCCACCCAGGAAGTCCCCTGGGCCCTGGAGGCCTGCCTGTCACCATGTGGAGGCGGGAAGGACACACAGGGACAAGGGAGGCAGAAAGCAGAGAACAGGCCACCTGCTCCAAGGGGCAGAGCTCCAACCACAGTGCCTTGCCTACAGAAGCCCGAGCCCTTGGAACCGGGGCAAGCTCTCTGGGACTGCTCTCTGGGCCAGCACCACTGACTCATGCACAAGGAGAGTACTGACTGATGGCCTTCTGCATGCAGAGACCACATCCGTGGCTCAGCCAGCATGACACCTCCCGATCCCAGGCCTCTGAAGGTGTTTCCCGTCCAGTACCTCTCCCTGTTGATACAGGACAAGATGAGGGACCAAGGAGGTGGACAGTCCCCCACCGTCACCTAGCAAGCCTGTGGTAGGTAACTCAAGAACAGAGGCCATTTTGTTGCTGTTGTTGTTGTTTAGCCTGTGGGATCTTACTTCTCCAAGCAGGGATTGATCAGAGCCTCCTACATTGGAAGTACATAGTCTTTTTTTTTAATTGGAAGATAATTGCTTTCCAGTGTTGGTTTCTGCCATATATCAAAATAAATCAGCTGGAGGTATACATAATGGACCTCCCTCCTGAACCTCCCTCTGCCTCCTACTCTGTCCCATCCCTATATGTTGTCATAGAGCACCAGATGTGAGCTCTCTGGAGTGCAGAGTCTTAACCACTGGACCACCAAGGAATCCCTAGAGGATAGCTTTTAGGGGACAAGAGGAGGGAGAGAAAGCGAGTGCCTCCTGTAAGCACCTCCTGCATTCCTAGTGCTCCCTCCCCGCAACAATAGTGCCCGCCCCAGGGCAGGTCCTCTCATCTCCACTTCACAGATGGATACGTGGAGGATCAGAGATGTGAAATAACTTGCTCAAGGGCATGGCTTGTAGTGGCAGAGCCAGACCCGCAAACCAGGCTGTCTGCATGCAAAACCCATCCCCAATCCATCCACACCACCAACAGAACAATGGGTAGGATCCACTACAGAAAAACACAAATGCATTCAAAACAGACAAACTATCAGCAACATTTTTAAATTAACATTATCTCTAGGACCACAGCATCTACAATAGATTAAAATAAAGATATATACACATATTAGGTCTATCCTGTGTATGGGTACCTAGGGGGAATACGGATTCTTGATCCTTTCCAGCTCCTCTCTGGCCCCTGAGAGTCCTATAGGCCAGGATCCACCGGATCAGACATCGCTTTACCACCCCTGTTCCCTCTTGTCCTCAGACCCTAACTGCCTGGCAAGGCTTTCTCCATAGGAAGCTGCCACTCCCATCTCTGCCCTGAATTATTGCAGGAGCCTCCCCAGTGGTCTCTCCGATTCTGCCCCTGCCTCCTCGTTGTTCTTTGCCTCATCCATTCCTTGCCAGCAGACAAAAAGATACTGTGAACAATAAACCAGACTACATCCCTCCTGTGCTCAGAACTCCTCCCGTGCTTTCCATCTCACTCAAAGAGCGCAGGCCCGGCCCCACCTCCGTTGGCGCCTCTGTCCCCACCTCCCTCCCTCACTGCCCCAGCACTCCAGCCTCCTGGCTGGTCCACAGGCGTGGTGCCTGTGCTCCTGCCTCAGGCCTTGGATCCTGCTGTGCACTCTGCCTGGAGCACTCTCCACACACCCACAGGTTCAGGCTCTCCCGCCTTCTGCTCAAACGTCCCCTGAGGGAGACTGTCCTGGCCTCCCCCAGGTCCAGCACCCAGCACCCCTCCTCTCTCCTTCTGTGCTTTCTGGTTTCTCCTTGATACTTTCACTGTCACATTACACATTGTAGTTGTTTACATGTTATAATACTTTGACCACCTGATGCGGAAAGCTGACTCATTGGAAAAGACCCTGATGCTGGGAAAGATTGAAGGCAAAAGAAGCAGAGGGCGGCAGAGGGTGAGATGGTTGAGCAGCATCACCAACTCAGTGAACATGAGTTTGAGCAAACTCGGGGACAGGGTGAAGGCCAGGGAAGCCTGGCGTGCTGCAGTCTGTGGGATCGCAGAGTCAGACACGACTTAGTGACTGGACAGCAGCATGTTGGTTTCCTCTCTCCCTTTATCCCTACTTAAGTGTAAGCTCCGTGCGGACAGGATCATCTGTTCTGTTCACTGCTGTTTCCCCCACCCCGAGAATGGTGATGGGCCCAGAAAAGGTACTCAGAAAATATTTGTTGAATAAACAAATGTCAGATAAAATGGACCAGGCCTCCAGGAGAAAGATTTGTCTATTCTCTCTTGTCTCTGTTCAGCTCAAACCAGGGGGAAGCGAGAGGTGCCAGGGAATGAAGGGAAGTGGGCCCTGCGGTGGAGTGAGTGCTCAGAAACCTCCACGACCTAGATTTTAGGCAGGAGGTGAGATGGCTTATAGAGGCAGGTTTACAGTCTGCGCTTCAGAGGACAATGTCTGTTTCCTTAACCCAGGCGCCGGGGCCCTCACGCACAGCTCCTGCCCTGGGGGAGCCCGACCTGCTTCAGATTCCCGCAGCCATCTGCGGACGTGCTGTGGACCTGCTGTGGACCATTACCGCCCTCGCTCCACGGTTTTGAGCTCTACCCCGTGCCAGGCTGGTGCTAGCGCTCCACCTATATCCGTCCCTGGACTCCCGTCAGGCACCTCTCTGTGGCCTGGAGCATCCCCAGTTCCTGATGAGAAAAGTGGGCCTTAAAAATACCAAGCAACTTGCTAAGGTCACACATGTATCGTTTAAGGTCTTAACAGCTATGAAATGGAAATTGTATTTGCTGGATTTGGGATATAGGTTGGGATCTATCCCTCCCCCGCCCCCCTCCCCTCCCCTCCCCCTCCCCCCTCCCCCTCCCCCCTCCCCTCCCCTCCCCCTCCCCTCTAACCCCGCCCCCTCTAACCCCGCCCCTCTCCAGTCTGTCTGGTTCCTCCTCTCCTGGTCTCGAGCAGCCCCGTGGGCAGCTCTTGGGGGCAGCACAGCCCCACATAAAGCGGTCTCTTCCTTTCGCTCCTAACAAGTCGTGCGGCCCTTCTCCACACGACGACAGGACGGGGGGAGCAGCGGACACTGAAGAAGCCGCCGCAGCTCCCTCTCGCTGGAGCTGCTTCCTGCGCGCAGCGCGGGGAGGAGACTTCCATCAGTTCCAGACGTGACCAGGAGAGGGCAGCAGCGGCCGAGGAAGGCCCAGGGCCCGGCTGCCGCAGCAAGAGCGCTGGCGACCTTTCCTTGGGAGCTGTTCACACTGGAGAGCCAGTTCCATTCCCTGGGGTCCCACGGCTTGCTTCACCTGGCGCAACCCACCTTTTATTCCTTCACAAGTTCCCACAGGAAACTGTTACTGTATTTGACCAAAGGCTGCCCAGCTGCTATTATGCTCTGCTGCTAAGTCACGTCAGTCGTGTCCAACTCTGTGCGACCCCGTGGACGGCAGCCCACCAGGCTCCCATCCCTGGGATTCTCCAGGCAAGAACACTGGAGTGGGTTGCTATATCCTTTTCCAGTGCATGAAAGCGAAGTCGCTCAGTTCGACCCAAATCCTCGCAACCTCATGGACTGTAGCCTACCAGGCTCCTCCGTCCATGGGATTTCCCAGGGAAGAGTACTGGAGTGGGTTGCCAGTTACTAGTTAATAATTTCAATAATGATAATGATTAATATTATA